ATCAGTGTGGGCCATGGTGCTATTTCGCACGTTGTGGGTGCCAATACTATTGACCGTGGGGAATGTGGGCTTATTTATACTGCCATTGTTGTTGTTGCCATTATTTGGGGTCATATTCTCTTTTTTTTACCAATGGACCTAGGGACAGGAGAGGACAGGGCCGACTTTCGGGGGATTTTGACTTTTTTTCCGGGATTATTTGGTGACATGTCTATATCTACGGTGATAGGTGGTATAGTTTTATTGGCTATTTGATTGCAATTTAGTGGCCTTTCAGTTGGTGTCGCTCTCTGAGAGGATAATTCTGTGTGGTTTGAGGGGGGTGGTGCGGTGGATTCTACGTTATCTATCGAAGGGTTGGGTATAATTGCTGCTTGCAATGTCCTATTGTTTATTCCACAATTAGACTCAGTGAGATAATTATATACGCGCCTTTCTATGACTGTCTTGTCCACCGCAACCTTTATTAGTTTGTAATTTCTAGCTTGCGATAGGGTGTGTTGTGAGTGGATGAATTTTCTGGCCTCAGCCGGTGTTTCGAACTGAAAACGAATAGGACAACACTTTTCATGTTGACTCTTCTTCAGCCTATAGAACTTAGTCTTGGAGTTGGGCATTTTCGCCTCACTAAGTAAGATGCGCTGTACCTGTTTTAGTGCCTCATTGTCCGGAACGTTGTAGACAATAGCATTTAGTTTAGCGTCGACTCGTTTTGTTACTTCTGTAGTAACAAAGTTAATGAGGTTATCCACCTTAGATACCGATTCCGTTTCAAGTTTGTTAAGGTCTACAGTTTTCATGAGGATAGTTAAGGGTGTCAGTTCACAGAACTGCGATCTGATATCGCTGATTTGATCTGATAATTTGGATATTTTGGTATTGGTTTCAGAAATTCCAGGATTTACTGACTTATTGTTTTTTATTTCCCTTAACTCGGCCTTAAGTTCCCCTATAGACAACTTTAGAAGTTCTATTTCCGGAGATAGTACTGAAACAGAGCTTGAAGGCTGGAGTTTTTCAATAAGCACTTAAGGTGAAGGGAGGGTTTCTGTATGAGCAGAGGGTACTGAATTTTTGGGAGTAGTGCTAATACTAGCTGTCAGTGCAGTTTTATCCTCAGTTTCAGCTCGACGCTTACGACATAGAAGTGGGTTTTGTTGCTCACTATAACCATTTGTAGGGGGTGTGTTGCTTGATGTAGCAATCAACGACTTAAAATTAGTCATCAGATCTACAGGGGATTGAGTTCGTTGCTTTTTACTTTGGTTAACCATAACTATTTGATATGAGAGTTAATAGTTATAGGTATGGAGGTAGTAGAGTACTTGTGCAAGGATTACAACAAGATAAATTTTATGTAACGGTTATTTGCGATGTATCCGGAGTGAACAACACTGTGGTTGATGCTTTGTCGCGCATTTGTCCCCTCATGCAAATAGATGGCAGAGATCCTGTGAAACTAGCTCGTTTTCAAATAGCAGATACCGAGCTTCAACATGAGTTGTCGAAAACAACTCTACAATTAGCTGAGAAACCCTTATCTATGGGTAAAGCACTATTCTATGTGACATTTTCACGAGTACTCCTCCCCCCATCGCGCCTAAAAGTTATCGCCGTAACGTCTTCATTACGTTGCATGGATTATCCCACCCACGTATTAGAACTACCGTCAAGCTCGTAACTAGTCGTTTTCGTTGGCCTGGTATCAATAAATAAGTAAGGGAATAGGCACACACATGTTTAGCCTGCCAGATGTGCAAGTAGTAAGACACACCAAAAGCCCTCTTGGCACCTTTCTTACCCCTGATGTTCGTTTCGAACAAGTTCATGTTGATTGGGTTAGACCTCTTCCGGAATCTCATGGATATACTTATATGTTAACCTGCATCGACTGTTTCACACGGTGGCCTGAAGCAGTACCCCTCAAGGATGTATCTGTTGAAACAGTCGCACGCGTCTCTGTCGAACAATGTATCTCAAACTTTGGATTCTCATCCTCCATAACAACTGATAGCGGGCGGCGATTCGAAATCTGCTTATTCTTCGCCTTGACTAAAATCATAGGTTGTATGCGTTTCAGAACAACAGCCTACCATCCTCAAGCTAATGGTATGGTTCAGACGTTTACACCGACAGTTGATGGCTGAGTTATCAGCAGTAAGCAGTGCACACTGGACTGAATCGCTACCCTTAGTTCTCCTGGGCATACGAAACGCCTTGGAAATTGATGCTGGTTGTATTGCTGCCGAGATAGTATATGGTACAACACTACGATTGCCAGGTGAGTTTATTTCTTCCTCTAGCTTCTCACCAGCAGAAGGTCACGCCTCATACGTCAGCAGGCTGACAAACGCAATGCATTCAGTTAAACCTGCTCTCCTTCGACCACAGTCTATGGACGTCTTTGTTCACCTGTGTTTGAAAACTTCTTCACATGTGTTTGTTCGTCGTTATTCTTTGCGTTGCCCTACGTCAAACCTGACTGCGAAGACTCTGTAAGTATAGATCGTCTGAAACTAGCCTACTTAGAAGGCAATCCTATGAGCCCCGAACTAAACATTCCCAACAATACACGGGCAACAAAATATCCGTTAGTCCTCGAAGAAATCACTAGCACGACGAAAGTCACTTAACCTTCCGTCGAGACCTCAAAGAAAAAGCCTTCTGGACGAACCGTGAGGTTCCCAGGATATCTTTACATTTATCTCACATAACTAAGCTATGCGATTCGCCCAATTCTTATTCGCTTGTGGTATTTATGTTTTTCCTCCAAACACCAACTTTTTATTGCATCCAGAAGCATAAGTAAAGAACTTCGCTGGAACAGCAGGCTCCTAAAATTCTCTGGCCTTCTCGGTGCTTCCTCTGTCTAATATTTCAACGTTGTCCCATCCGCTCGCTCATGTCACTGCATACAGACAGGCATCATTTCGACTGAGACAACGTTCAAATATTGGACGGAGGAAACGTCAAAAATGCCAGACAATTTTAGAAGCCTGGTGTTCCGGTGAATCTTCAGGCAACGGATACACTGATACAGACAAAATTCACCAATCGATGAGAAGGGAACCTCATACACAAAGGTTCGAAGTTCAAGTCAAGGAAAAATCTGTGCCAATACAAGGTGCCTAGAGGGTCTGAAAACACAAAATCAACCAGCCACATTCAGGGCCATGAAGAGAGATGAATCATAAACTCGTGGAGAAATCTGAAGGCTCACTGAAGATTTTAACAGTTTCAATGGCTGTTAATTCTCAGCTAGACTGTACCTAAATAAATAGCTTTCTGTGCGGAGTCAGTAAATGGTTTGAGTCTAACGGTCTAAAACTGAATCCTTCTAAATGTCAAACTGTTGATTTCAGCTTAGGATGTAAAAGACAGTTAAAAGAAGACATCGATTCTCATGATAGTTGTAAGATTGACGACAGTGATATAGGAATTGAATCAGAATTAAGTATCTTGGACTTATTCTCTCTTCTGATCTCTCCTGGTCTTCCCATGTCTTAGAGACCTCCAGCAAAATATTCCGCCTGACATTTTACATTAAGAAGTTAAGGCACTCGGGTATAACTCAACCCCTTCTCTTACAGTTTATAAACTCTTACATCCTACCCATTCTTCTTTATTGTTCACCCTCATTCTTTCCTGGGTTGCTTAAAAAGGACTATATCACAATTCGTAGAGTGCTGAGGACTGTCAGTAGGATGAGTGGTGTCCCAGTGGACCACATAGTTGACGTCCTTGTTGATAGGCACTTGACCTCGTGCAATAAATTTGCTAAAAGGGATTTTGTCTGACTTGGAGCATCCATTTTACCCTCAGCTTTCCCTTGTATCTCCTCAGGTAGAACAAGAAGTAACCAGAAAACTGTATGCTCGCACGTCTAAGTATAAAAATTCTATGATACCAAACTTGGCACGTATTTTATGTGATGAAAATAATGTCAGGCAAGAATTAACTAACCTTTTTTCATCCAGTAAATAAACAATTTCCTCCATCCATCCTTATAACCTTCAAGTTTTACTTTTATTATTTCTATTATATTTATGGTCCTGTTGCTTCTTCGTCTTACTTTCATAATTGCAAACACCAACTTATCTCTATGACTGCTGTGATTTTTGTTTTTCCCCTCACCATATCATGTGAAGAGAACATTATATTCAATATTTTCAAACATGCTAGGGTTTTTATACCGCATCAGCAACAGTGTGTGAAACAAGCCCACGGAAATTCTCACTTGTATTATTATTATTACCTTAGCTATTATCATTATTATTATTTCCATTTTATATGCATGCATTTGACATTACCCCTATTGCAAATGTGAATAATTTTATTTATAATTTGAAGAAATTAGATGCAATATTGTGATAAATGCTGAAAATTCCATTCTGTATCACAAGTACTGTTTTTGGAATAAGGTAAATCATTATTATTATGAATATTATAGAGAGTGGTCCATGTCTTCCCAAAGCAGTAATATTTTCCTTAATATGTTGTAATCTTTGGAACACCCTCGAACGACTGTTCATGAGATGACAGTAAGACTGGAGTGTCTGTTTTATCCGGAAGAGCATACATTAAGCTTGCGTAACTATCACATCCACTTGTGAAGAAGGCCTAAAACAATTTGCGTGGGCCGTGATCGTTCTCCAAGGGAATATATTACTCAGGTATCTGCTTATTCACTGCACATCACCAGTTTCCCTCTTTCCACTGTTATCCAAGATACTTTCCCAGCCCCTTCCATGTGAGTATGCAGATATATATGATGGTGCGACAGTTACAGATCCCATAATTTATGTTATACCGAAACCAGTAATTTCCAACAAAAAATCCGACGTCACAGTGTCGGCAAAAGTGCAGATCAGCCAACTCTATCGGATTCCCATTCAGATCCAGTATCTTTTTCTAAAATTATGAAGTCAAACGTTAGAAAAAAATAAACGAATAGAATCAAATGAGTGCTTCGAATATTATTCGGACGTCCTTGACCTTGGCGGCTTTTGAAAACTTTCCACGGAATTTTCAAAAGCGATGTCTGTTTCCGCGCGTCGAAATACTTCATGTCTATGTAGAATAAAAAGTGGCTACGAAGATAGAAGAAATGGAGTATCATTTGTTATACATAGGAATGGTGATTCGTTCAACCCTGGAAGACGAATTTTTATAAATCATCGACTAGCTTTAACATGGAGTTCTTTTATGGAGCAGCTGCGTAAGCGTTTGGGACAGTATGTACCAGCCATTCGATGCATTGTTTCTCCGAATTCTGGAACTCAAATACGAGATGTTAGCGAACTGCAGGAGAATCATAGGTACATCGCAGTACCTAGAGGCGAAGTTCTGAAACTATTAGAGTGAGTTATCACTACCTCACGCTTTTAAACACTGAGAACTGTTTTACTGGCAGAAAGCGCGTTTGACTATTTTAGCTTAATAGCACAGCCATGTTGCATTATGTAGATGGTCATACGTGGATATCCCTTACAGGGGATATGTTTTATAATTATATGTACCAAAAGCCTTCAATGAAAATTTTGGGGGAAGAATAGTGCGGGGACTTAGTAGATATTCGGGAAAAATGCAACAGTTTTCCTCTAAAACCAGTAAATCCCTAAATTCCAAGTAGAAGACCCAAACTTTGGCCAAATTTTCACTCAAAGTTTCCAATGTTCCCGAAAGTTTTTATTCGTAGTATATCTTTCAACTGGTAAATCATTTATTCCTCAGCGTTTTATTCGAAATATCAGTTTGCATTCATTTCCCCTCGATGGGTAGTGCTACACTCAGAAACTCATTTAATAAGTAATGAAATGTTTAGATATTATCACAGTATTAAATATTGCCAATACGTTATCTGCAGAATGACTCATCAGTCACAACTTGTTTAAGGAGAGTTTCAAAAGCCCTTTTCCATCAGTGGTAAGAACTGAACAACAAATGACTGGTTTCATTTTTGCAGTACATATTTACTTGATCTTTTTCTGTACGAAAATATTTATCAAATGACCTACAGCTATTAGTAGTATCGTAGTGCTTGATCACTTCGTTGGATGGTCGATATAGCTCTGGAGGTTGACTGTGACTCTTGGGCCTTGCCCATGAAGATTAAAGCCGCTTTTAAGAGATTAAAAACGTCACTTGGTACACAAATACCTTCAATCATTATGCTATGAGTCACTACTATATTACTTCTAGTTACACGGAAACTGTGAAAATTTATTTTGCACTCTTTGGAAATGCTGATCAAGTTCTGTTATTCGCTTGATGCCAGTTAGTTAACAACATATCACTTTGTTGGCTTTTTTGTGAAGTATTTCTAAACAGCTGTAGTGTGATATATTAAATATGCTTTCGCTTAAGTACTTGAAGTTCATTGTGTAGATTTAAGACAAAAGGCTTCTTTTATGTGTTAACTGCTTTTATTTAGGTATTTAGGCTTGCCTATTTCCAATCTGAAACGCGTCCATTGCAATTTTGGACACAACTTATTCTGGGAGTTGGTTCTGAGGTTTGACGACATAGTGGAAGGACTTATGCTTTGTGGCGATGTTCTTCGTCCATGGCTTTCGAACTCTGCTGCTGTCTTTTGAGATGTTTTGACCCGGTGTAAAACAGAAAAGTAGTTGAGTTAGGTCCATAGTCTACTCCTAAATTTTTGTAGAACGTGATTAGATTTACCTCCCACCAGTAGTGTAATCAAGCTAAGAGATTCAACCCTCTCATTTGTTCACCATATGATAGATCTGTCACTTCACGGATTGCACTTGTGGCTATCGATTGAATTCTTTTCAGAATACGTAGATCACTTTTTAGGTGGGAGGTGAATGCACCTCCTTAGACTAGACCTCGCGTAAGGTATAGATAAGTATATAGATAAGTAGTGTATGAAATATATTCTCCGTAGTGGTTAATATTTCATTGGTGTACTTAGTTGAGATCCTTCATAATGACTTTGAGTTGCAACTGAGCAAAAGTGAGCTGTAATTTTAAGGTTACCACTTACTATTAACACCTAGGTAGGTTTTGTTTCTGAAGTGAAGGAGCCGGTGGTATGCTCTGACATCTGCATGTTTGATGTGCACGGATGAGCACTTAGATACACTGGTGCAAAATATCCATTATTGAGATCAATTTAGCGCAGTATTGAGATCTGTTTGCAGTGTAAGTATTTAACTATTTCTCTCAGTTGGTCTCCAGATATTGTAATCATCATTATAAGCAATTATAGACCAGTTGATGAGCCTAGGTATTTTCTTTACACAGGTAATAAATAATAGGAAGCTGAGTAGAGCACTTCTGAGGACACCAGATAAACCTTGACGACCTTCTTGTCTATCCCTCCCAATATTTTAATTAAGGTGCTTATAAGACTATTAGACTTGAAGTTTGAGGGATAATGACTTCTCTTCTGGATAGGAGTGACTAATGTATCCACACAAACTGCCTCAGTTGGTGTCGAGGAAGTAGAAGCGAAATAATTTGTCGAGCTGATGGAATTTCTTTGAATAAGCTGAAATTAATTGGAAAATAGGTTATATAGTGTACATGTGAAGATATAAATAATTTATACTTAAAATTAGTAGGCGATGTTACTAGTTACGATAACGTATAAATGTAGATCACTGACGAGTTTCGAAGAAAAATTGGTGAACACTGAGAAACATTTTTATTTAGTCTAAAACCTTTGAAGAGTTAAAGTTTTCGGGCAACTTTAATGCATAGATGTATACAAGTTGTTACTTTTGTATGCTGAAATTTATATTTAGCCAAAGTGGACTATGATTCTTTTCAGTTAAGTGAAGACTCAATCTAAGCCATTTGCATTTACTGTATTCGCTTTGAAAAATGTTTATTGAACCTATTAAAATTTGTATGCCAGTATTAAGGATCCAAATGGCTCAATTTACAGTTGTATTTATTTATTTTTTAATCCCTTTGTGTTTCAAGAGGGGTATGGAGCTTCAAGCTACGAATTCCCAGTAGCACTGGCGTTTTCTTACAAGGTGTAGTTGCTATACTCCCTCACAACTTTTTCCAGTTTTCAGGCTTCTTAACGGCTATTAAACTAGGCTCTGTGTAGGAGTGCTGCCGTCAGGAATCAAACCTAGGCCTGTGGCGTGCCTGGTAAACATTCTGCCATTAACCACCAGCTCTATAATAGCATGGATAGTTTTAAAAATTAACAGGAAATACTTTTCAGTTCTTTTTCAGCCTGCTGTTATACAATAACAAATAGTCTTCCTAGCACAGTGTGCCTTCTTGGTACGAAGATATTATGTATTACCATGAAATTCCATGCAGTAAACTAACAAACAATTATTAATTATGTGTGGATAGCTTTTGTTCACGTGGTTCTCTTGATAAATTTCGATACGGTTGAAAATACTAGTGGGAGTAATGTCAACCTATCTAAACTGGCTATCTCATTTCTGAAGGATGGCTACTGTACTTGTAGAACATACGTTTTAATAAAATCGACAATATATCAGTATTTTCGGGTTTTCTCATTAACAGCGCCTACCTTTTGGTTTAAAACTGTTAAGCAGAACATGTTTAAACACTTGACAGTCCTTTAACCAATAAATAAGGTCTATTCTGAAGACAAGACAACTTTGCGTTATGCAATTCTCAGTGGCAATCTGATCTTTTTGACCCAATTATACATGAAGTTGATTATCGTCAAAATATTTCACTGATGACATTTTTATATTTAATTTCTATATCAGGCAGAAGAGTTTTCCTGACTCCAATCTTTCTTAAAAGGTTTCACATATAATTTCTCATCCAAGAAAAGTAGACACTAAAGTACTAAAGTATTGTTTATTGAGGTTACTGATGACAGTGTAACATGCTTTTGATCTTGTCTATAAGAACAGATTCAGAGTTTTGAATGAAACTCAATCTTCTAACTTTATTACTGGAAGGCATCGATTTCAAAACATAATTACTGTTTTTGGAATTCAGAATCATTAGTTCTGCGTCTAAATTCTTTAACTGTTGTTAAAATTTAATTTATTCTAATATACGTCGGGAGTTTGATAGTAGAATGCTGGCCAACCACGAGCGTGGTCGAGGTTCGATCGCCGACTGACGTACTCCGAAATCTGACCTAGTTGGCAGTAGGTCTGGAGAGGTGGAGGGAGGTTGAGCGTGAAGTTAACGAACCTACCCGTGTAAAAAACAACACTAATGCTTCTGGAAGTTCACAGCCTGAGGCTCTTTGTTCTACCCGACATGCAAAGGGATATGAAGAAAATTTTGTCAGAACTTTAGAACCATAGGATAAAATGAATTGGCTGAAATAAAACATAATTCTTGTCTTCCATTGTCTATTTAAGTTTAAAAAACAAATATTTTGAAACTTTTCGAAAACAATTTATTTCAAGTTAGTGAGAAGTACTCATAGTTGAGTATATGTTTCTAATATCTTTGTCATTCGTGCCATCAATGAGTTTGTGTTAGCTAAAGTTACTTTTTAATTGTTGCCTTTTGATAAAATCGAGTCATTTTACCGGACTTTCCTTCTTTAGTTCCGTCAGATGACAGAATTGACTAAATTTAGGGTGTAGAAATATTTATAGAATTACTCCAGATCAATTTGCACTTTTCATAAACCCAAAATAACACTAGACAAAACAATAAATATAAAGAAACTAGAGTCAACAAAAATGTGCGGGCGATAGAATAGTCTCATGGAGAATAAAGAGAGTTCATTAGACCAGGAAGTGAACAGGTCAGTGCTATTCCAAACGACTTGAAGCCATATAACTAAAAGCCTCAAGTCTTTGGTTCTTAGTGTTTCGGTGATGTCAGCGACGCAGCCTACACCTACATACGTGGCTCAAACTAAAAGCAACATACTAAATGGATGGATGCCACATTTTGATTTTACATTCCTTAACTTTTCTGCTACCCAATCCTGTGTTGGCTCCTACTCCTCAACAATGTAGGCTATTGCTTGTTATGTATAAAATGTAGCCTAGCCATCTCAATCGGTACAGCCTTACTAACTCATCGATTGATTTTCCCTCCCTACCTAATACTCTTCAACAAACTTGAATTATACTCACTATATTATTCCACTTAACACAGAAACATATGGTCTTAGACAGCTAGTCTCTTCAAATCTTCCACTTTCACTGTCTGCGTCTCACAACCAAAAGGAAAGTGTGAACTGTTATGGAGTATATCTACCCTTCCATCAATATCAGAATATCACGTCTACTTTAGAGATGACAGAACTCGGAAGTTGCAACACAAGGCTTAGATATCATCACCAGTCAGTTTATTAGAGTTGATTTTATTTACCAAATAAGTGAAGTGGTCAACAAAGTCAACCAATTCACTCTGTATC